GTGCTGGATTAAAGGTGTGCACCATCACCTATATAAGGTATTTATTTTAATTTGGGTCCTTTTTTTTTTTTTAAATTCATGTATATATGTTTGTGTCTGCTATGTGTATGCAGGTGCCTGGGGAGGCCAGAAGAGACTTCAGATCCCTTGGAGCTGGAGTTAAAGGTAGTTGTGAGCTGCCCAACAGGAATGCTAGGGACCAAACTTTGGTCCTCTGGAGAAGTAACCAATACTAACGGCTAAGCCATGTCTCCAGCTCCAGCTGGAAGACAGTTTTTATCTCATGTAGCTCAGGCTAGCCTAGAACTCACTATATGATCCTCTTGCACTTGGGAGGTATCCCAAGGGCTGGAACCATAAGTGTGTACTACCATGCTTGGCCATAAAGTTATTTTTTAATAATGCATTATGTTTTTACCCAGGGTGCTGGAAATGGAAGCCAGTTTATCCTTTGACACATTTCTGCCTTTGGCTTTCAGTGTCTAGCAGTTTTCTGCTGTCCCTTTTGGGCATGGAGAAGCATTTAACTTCACCCCTGTCTTTGAGTAGAGTCGTAACATAGGCTGGTCCTCCTGCCTTAGTGAAAGTGAGTGTTGGACTGACCGGTCCACACCACGCTCTGGGCTCTTGGAGAGCTGCAGTCGGCAGACTTCTCACTTTAATGTAGGAAGTGCTAATTTTAAGAATGGAAACCGTTGGTGCAGTCTCTCCCTCTCCTTAAAGAGGAAAACATAACAATAACTTAAAAATTAAGGTTTGTAGAAGGTGTACTCAGAATTTAGTGGAGAGAAGTTGGCTCATTTGCTTTATGCTAAAATAAGATAAAATTATTTCATTGCTAGACTTTTGCCAAAAATTTTTTAGTATTTAAAATCAGTTCTTTTTTAAAACATATTTTCCTTTTATTTATTATATTATTTGTACGGATATTTGACTGCATGTTTGTTTGTGTACCATATGCGTTTCTGGTGCTGGAAGAGACCAGAAAGGTCATGGGATCTCCTGGAAGTGGAGTTATAGCCAGTTATGAGCTGCCATGTGGGTGCTAGGAATTGAACCTGGGTCCTCTGGAAGAACAACCAGTGTTCCTAACTGCTGAGCCATCTCTCCAGCCCCTTAAAATCAATTCTTAATACTATGAATTCTTAATAATATGCCCAGGGTTACAACTGGGCATGGTGGCATGCTCCTCTGTGTAAAGACATGAAGGCAGTCCAGTGCTCAAGGTCATCCTTGGCCCTGTAACAAGTTCCAGGTCAGCCTGGACTACATGAAAAATTGTCTCAAAAAATGAGGGGGCTGGGGATATGAATATGGCTGTTAGTGTAATGTATTGAGGATTTTTTTCTCCTCATATGATGCTGTCCTGTGGTTTGCTTTCTACCTTCAATTGTCAGCTAGATGAACTAGGAGAAAACAGTGGCCACCTTGGTAATATTGTTACAGTACTGGGGGTTGAACTCAGGACCTCACTAATACTAGGTAAACATTCTGCTACTGAGCCACACATGCTGCTAGTCTTTGAGTCTACACAATTACACTAGCAACCGGTGTTACATGCTTTTTTTTTTTTTTAAGATAATTTATTTTATATGTGAATACTTTGTCTGCATGTATGGCTTTATGCCAGAAGAGGGCATCAGATCTCACTATAGATGGTTTGTGAACCATTATGTGGTTGCTGGGAATTGAACTCAGGATCTCCGGAAGAGCAGCTAGGCTCTTCTCCATTGAGCCATTGCTTCAGCCCTTGCCTGGACTGGAACTAGCAGTGTAGACCAAACTGGCTTTAGACTCACAGAGATCTGCATCCCAGTTGCTGAGATTAAAGGCATAGGCTACTACACCCAGCTAGTCCTTCATTTTGAATGTCTTCCTTTTTCTTGTTTATATTTCTCTTTACCTTCAGTGAGAATTTCTACTCTTTAAAATAGTTTCCCAACTATAATAACAAAAAACATCTTTTCAAGGTTTCAGTTTGAGATAAAACTTTGTAAGACATAAAGCCTACCTATTCCTTTAATTTATTCCATTTTTATATATATCATATAGAACACTTTGTTTTATTACATACTTACTGTCAGTTTCCTCTTTTGAAAATAAGCAAAGAGGTTTTGTCAATTTTATTGTATTGTTGCCAGTGTCAGCTAAGGACTTACTACTCTGTTCTGGTTTTGTGCTTTAGATTTATATGTTGGTACATAAAAAAATGAATTAATGTGGGGTTGGAGAGATGGCTTAGTGGTTAAGAGCACTCACTGCTCTTCCAAAGCTTCTGAGTTCAATTCTCAGAACCCACATGGCAGCTCACAACTGTCTGATACCCTCTTCTGGTATACAGATGTGCATGCAGTTAAAGGATCTATATATATGAAATACATAAATAAATTTTTAAGAAGTGTAACACTTCACTTTAAGAAAAAAGGGCACTAGCTGATCTTTCTGAGGCCCAGAGATTAGATCCAGCACCCACTCATAGGGGCTTGTAACTGCAGTTTCAGGGAATCCTACAGGTGTACACACAGCAGACAGATGTAAACATTACTAACAAGTGAATCTTTAGAAACATGAATTAATGTAAAAGTGGAGCCCCTTTAGAAATGAAAGATCTTTTTAGATTGTGATATAAACTGCATGGTTTGAAACTGGGAATATTTTTCTTGATGTAGTCTTGAGTTTTCCAAGGAGTACTTTTCATGTTAAATATCTGTAGGTTATTGAAGGACCCGTCATGCTGCTATGTGAAACAGCAAAAGTCTCAAGCTAGTGCCTCAGCACATACATTGAGAAAAGTGATCAGAAACTAAAGAGCAAAGATGCCTTACTGCGATAAAAATGTAATCTTTTAACACTGTTAAACAAAATGTGGTAGACATAGACCTACCTGTGCTTTTAGTTTGCTGAAAATGGAGTGTTTGTAATTTCTCCAGAGTTTACAAATCAATAACAGTAAACGTGGCGATTTCAAACACAAAGAAAAATAAGAACGTCAGGCTGTCAGAGTGACTCAGATGGGTCTGTGAACCTCCCCAAGACACAGCAGTGATTATTGATAGATCCAGGTACACCTAGTAAGCATGTCGAGGGGGCACAGTGTTAGGCTTCAGAAAGAGTTCTGCCTTTATTTTTGACAGCCAATACTTGAAAATCTTAGTCTTTATATTTATCAGTTAGTCGACTTGACTGGTTATACTAGGGCTTCACTTAGTGTTTTCAGATTTGTGTTATCCCTGTGAGTTTATGTTTGAATGGGCATGGGCAGGACTGGTTAGACCATAGCATCTTTTCTGTTAGTAAAGCCCACCAGATGTGGAGGACTTCGACAGTATTGCTCCTCAGAATGTGGTCACTGAAGTAAGGCTTCTCTGAGATACTCCAGGGAGGGTTCCCTTATTTGGAGCTCTTTCTTTCTCTCCCTCTCCCATTCCCTCTAACCTTCCCTCTGTCCCTCTCTGGCGCCCCCTTCCCCCTTCAAGGTAGTATTCGTCCAGGCTGACTGCAAATTTGTAACCCTACCTCAGGCTCCTGAGCTCTGAAATGGAGTGTGTCACTACACTAGACTGAGAGACCATTTTTAAAACAGAAAATTCATTGGAGTTATAAACAAATATTCTTTTTTTCCCCTCAAAGAATTAGCTATTAGGGGCTGGAGGAATGGCTCAGCTGGGAAGAGCATTTGTTGCTCTTGGAGAGGACCTGTTTCAGTTCCCAGTACCAACCAACATGGTGGTTCACAAGCATCTCTGACTACAGGGCCAGGGTACTGGATGCCCTCTTCTGACTTCCGAGGGTACTGGGCATGCACGATGATATGGTATACATACATATATGTAGGCAAAAATTTATACACATAAAATAAAACAATAAAAACAAAAATAAAAGAATTAGAAATTAAGAAGCTGATGAGATGGCTCAGTGAGTAAATGGCAAAGCCTTGACAACCTGAGTTCCATCTCCGGGACCCACATGGTAGGAGAAATTACTCCCTCAAGTTGTCCTCTGACTGCCACATGTGTGCACTCATGTGCACTTAAATAATAAATAAAATAAGCGATGTGGGTGGAGAGATGGGTCAGTAGTTTAAGAGTGCTTGCTGATCTTCCAGAGGACCAGAGTTAGGGTTCCAGCTCAAATAAAATAATAATAAAACGTGGTTTTAAAAGATCTTGCATACAATTTTAATAGCATTAGTTGGTTTTTTTATAGTGCTGAGGATTAAGCACAGAGCCTTGCACAGGCCATCAAGTACTCACAGTTCTATGCTCTGTTCAGTCTTTGTATACCAAAAAGGGATGTCTGTTGATGACAAGGGGAAGCAGTGAGGTTGTACACGCAAAAAGTGCAAAACGTAAAGCCATTTAGTGTCTGGTCTACAAAACGTTACTTTAATGTACAGTGGAAACTGTGACCTAGCCATTAAGAGAGTGACTCCTGTTCAAGGTGACCCTGCTTAGAAGATGATTACAGAATTAGGTTAGGAGTTGACTTTAAATTGTTTTTCAGAAGGCTTTTGTGTAATAAGGTACTGTCATAATTTCCCAGGAAAGCTTCTCTTTCGGCATAGTTACAGGGCACTGGGGTTATTTGAAAGCAGCAAAGGAAGCATTCTGAGTAGTGGCTTTTTTTTTTTTGTTTGTTTGTTTGTTTTTGTTTTTTCGAGACAGGGTTTCTCTGTGGCTTTGGAGTGAGTAGTGGCTCTTTAGCCCACTGCTGAAGCTCTGTAGCCCCAGTGAGAAACTGAAGAAGGGGCTGTATCACGGGTACCCGCTGCCCTTCAGAACTGCTTACAGCAGCAGCGTGGGATTGGGACATTGGGACGGCGACACTGGCTGTGAATGGTAGGGCAGACCATAGTGTAAGAATTAAGTATAGATGGTATGTAGAGATTCAAGGGCCCTGTAAAGAAAGAGCTTCACGCACTGGAAGGAAATTTAATAATCAGTTTTAGACTGTGGAGAGGAGAGATGATAAAAGTATAAAATACTATTGATATTTTCTAGAAACGACTACAAAAAGAACTGTTGGCTTTGCAGAATGACCCACCTCCTGGGATGACGTTAAATGAAAAGAGCGTTCAGAACTCAATCACACAGTGAGTATTTGAGGTTCAAAGGTCTTCTTACTTACACTGTATAACTATGTACTCATTCTTTAAAAACTTATTTTCATATTTTATTGTATTCTGTTATGCCACTAAGTAAATATAATAAAGAGATCCTATTCCATGTATTTATATAAATATTCATTTTTAACCTTACTGTGTCATCATAGGCTTACTGTTGTGTAATTTGTAAAGCTGAAAATGTGTAATTTAAATGTGCCTATGATAAGGATAGAGAGATGGCTCAGTGGTTAAGAGCTCTGGCTGCTCTTCAAAGGTCCTGAGTTCAATTCCCAGTAACCACATGGTGGCTCATAACCACCTATAAATGAGATCTGGTGCCTTCTTGTGTGCGGGCAGAACACTGTATAAATAATAAAAAAAATATTTTTAAAATGCACTAAATTGCTGTTTCTTATCATCAGTGATGTAGTAAACTGCAAAATAATAAGAATAAAATATTCCCCCAAAATGTAACAGTGGCTTATTCTTTTTTTTTTTTAAATTTTTTTTTATTTTATTGAGAATAAGAAAAAAAAGTTTCCGCCTCCTCCCAGCCTCCCATTTCCCTCCCCTCCCCCACTCTTCTCCCCCTCCCCCTCTCTTCTCCCCCTCCCCCTCTCTTCTCCCCCTCCCCCCACTCCTCTCCCCCTCCCTCTCCTATCCAAAGAGCAGTCATGGTTCCCTGTCCTGTGGAAAGTCCAAGGTCCTCCCCCCTCCCTCCATGTCTAGGAAGGTTAACATCCAAACTGGCTAGGCTCCCACCAAGCCAGAACATGAAGTAGGATCAAAACCCCTTGCCATTGACCTTGGCTTCTCATCAGTCCTCATTGTTCGCCATGATCAGAGAGTCCGGTTTTATCCCATGCTGTTCCAGTCACAGTCCAGCTGGCTTTGGTGAGCTCCCAATAGATCAGCCCCACTGTCTCAGTGGGTGGGTGCACCCCCCGTGGTCCTGACATCCTTGCTCGTGTTCTCCCTCCATCTGCTTCTCATTGGGACCTTGGGAGCTCAGTCCAGTGCTCCAGTGTGGGTCTCTGTCTCTATCTCCATCCATCACCAGATGAAGGTTCTATGGTGATATGAAAGATATTCGTCAGTAATGCTATAGGATAGGGTCAGTTCAGGTTCCCTATCCTCAGCTTCCCAAGGGACTAACTGGGGACATCGCCTTGGGCTCCTGGGAGCCACTCTAGGTTCAAGTCTCTTGCCAACACTAAGGTGGCTCTTTTAACTAAGATATGTGCTTCCCTGCTCCCCTATCCAACCTTCCTTTATCCCAATCTTCCTGTTTCCCCAAGTTCCCCCAATCCTCCCCTTCTTACTTTTCTCTCCCTGTCCCCCCTTATCCCCAACCCACCCCACCCCCAAGATCCCAATTTTGTCCCCGGCAATTTTATCTACTTCCCTTAGCCAAGAGGATAACTATATGTTTTTTCTTGGGTTCACCTTCTTCTTTAGCTTCTTTAGGTTCACCAGGTATACACTCCGTGACCTTTATTTATGGCTAGAAACCAATTATGAGTGAATACATCCCATGTTCATCTTTTTGGGTCTGGGTTACCTCGCTCAGGATAGTGTTTTCTATTTCCATCCATTTGCATGCAAAATTCGAGAAGTCATTGTTTTTTACCGCAGCATAATACTCTAATGTGTATATATTCCACACTTTCTTCATCCATTCTTCCATTGAAGGGCATCTAGGTTGTTTCCAGGTTCTGGCTATTACAAATAATGCTGCTATGAACATAGTTGAACCAATCAGTGGCTTATTCTTGAATTTTTTTTTTTTTTTGTTATTTTGGCTTTTCGAGTCGGTTTTTCTGTGAAACAGTCCTGCTGCCCTGGAACTCACTCTGTAGACCAGGCTGGCCTCAAACTCACAGAGATCCTCTGTCTCTGCCTCTCATGTGCTCGGATTAAAGGCATGAGCAACCACTGCCCAGCATTATTTTTTAAATTTAGTAACCATATATTACTTTTTTAAATAGTAAAAATTAAAAATGTATCACACACAATATTAGAAATCATGTCATTGACCTATTGATACAGATGTTGCATGACTAACAATGTTTGCTTTACAGTTATTTAAAGACTCTGCTCTGTGTGTCGTGTGTAAATTGGTTGTGTTTGTCAGTTCTCAGATTTGTTACATAAAGAAAATGAAAGTGCACAGGCAGCTCTCTCTTTGGATTATCACTCGGGGGAGTAGAGATGTGGGTGGGTGGGAGAAAATGAATTTTGAAGCTGAAAATGATGTATTCTTTTTTGTTTTTGTTTTTTTTTGTTTGTTTTTAATGAGAGAGGAAAGAAGGAGGGAGGGAGGGGCAGCGTATTGAACCCAGGTCTATTTAACGTGCTTTGTAAGGACTCCGCCAGTGACCTGTGTACCCCCACAGGTACAGCTTTGTGTTGTATTGAATTACTGTGGACTAGCTCTAGCGGTAGAAACGAGCTAGGTTTTCTACTTAGGTGTGGTCATTTCACTCTCTGAACAGTATCCTTCTATGGCGCTCAGCATGCATCCTGAAAATGAGTTTTCATATTTTAAGGGTTTCTATACTTTGTCACAGACTAAGCCCAGACCATGTTGTTATTTTATACATTCCTAGTTCCATACTACATAAGACATGAGTAGACCCTTACCATAGTATTTCCTGTTTTTCTGGACAGATGGGTGGGTGGGTGATATTGGCTGGCAGTACTGGGCATCAAACCCAGTATCACTTGATCATGACACACAAGTGCTTTACTGCTGAGATGTATCCTCAACTCATTTTTCCTATATTTAAGATAACATTTTTGTGCCCGAGAAGCATGAGGTTAAAGAATTTGGCCAACTACAATTACGTGTGACAGCTATAATTAAAGACTCATTCTTACTGACTTTGGTTCAAGTCTAACTGTTCCCCTATTGTCTTTGCTGTTTTTATCTTCTATTTTCTCTTTTAAAGACTAGCGATAGTTACAGGATATCAGTACAAACATTTATGTTCTTGATGGTTACACATGAAAAACAAGCTTACAATAAATGTCACAGAAATCTGTATGTGCTTTATTAAGACGTTGAAAGTGAGCGAGCAAGGAACGGCAGCAGAGAGCATTGCTTGCAACCTTCAGAGTAGATGGATGTGGATCAGTTTAGCTTCCGTTGAGTCTTTAGCCTACTGGTCAGGGGGTCTGTTTGTCAGCTACAGTACTTCTAACACTAATCGGGAAGGCAGTTAATGAGCTTGATGTTGTCTACAACAATTTAGTTACTGTAGAAAGTAGTGTTTGAAAGAAAACAAGATGGTGTGGTCTAAAAGGAAGAACACAATATAGACTCTGGTATTAGCCCATGGAAGTGGGGGTTTATTTTTAGTTTGCTTCAGATCAGACCTGGGTTACAAGCTCTGACCTTGACCTAATTTCTTTAATCCCAAGTGTCACAGAAGGCTAGGGAAGAGTGTTGAAAACCTACTCTGGAGTTGGGGAGAGAGCTCAGCAGTTAAGAGGGTTGGTGCTCTCAGAGTTCCCTAGTTTATGTCCTAGCATTCGTGTCACGGGGGACTCTCAAGGGGATCTGTGCCCTGGGCTCCATGGGCACTAGCACACATGCAGCATACCCACACGAGTCAGCCAGAAGCAAGAGCTAGCCTAGGTGGTGAAGCAGGAGGGAGTCATCAGTTACTACAGATTCAAACCCTGCAGCCCACGTAGAGGTGGAAGGAAAGGATCAGTTCCACAGAGCGGTCTTCTGACTTCTACATGTGTGCTGTGGTTGTGCATGTCCCCCATACAGTAATAAATTTATTTAAACTCATACATAACAATAATGAATTAAGAAAGAAATGCAGTGTAAGAGTTGTTGGGTGAAGTGCCCCATACACACTCTGGCCTATTGCCTGGCATCCCAGTGACCTCTAGTTTTCCCTTTACCCTAATCCTTTTTAAGTTTTAAATTTGTTCCCTTTCTGTTTGTCTTTTCCTGTCCTAGGTGGATCGTAGACATGGAAGGTGCACCAGGTACCTTATATGAAGGAGAAAAGTTTCAACTTCTGTTTAAGTTTAGTAGTCGATATCCTTTTGACTCTCCTCAGGTAACTGCCTTGCATGTAACATTTTATTGTACTTTTAGATTATAGCAAAAACGCTAAATTGGTTATTTTTGCCTCCTGAAAGCCTGTATCAGAAACTCAATGTAAATATGTAGATAGATTTGTTTTGCATTGTTTTATTTGAAGGCAGGGTTTTGTGAAGGGTTTTGGGGCAGAGGTTTCGCTGTTGTTGTTCTAGGAACTTAAGGCTGTTTATCGTGCACGGTTTCTGGAGCAGTGGGGACAGACTAGCATTTTTAGGCACCGCAGGCACTTTCTCATGGGCACGATGCTGCTGGAGATACAGAGGCTCTTTGAGAAGGCCTGTGTCTTTGGGTTCCCACTGATGTGTTCTTTTTGCAGCCTTCCGGAAGGCAGAATACATGAAGTCAATTTGAAATCTGATCATTAGAGTTTAAGGCAAACACAGTTTAGTTAAGGCCTGGGCGGTAGTGGCGCACGCCTTTGATCCTAGTGCTCGGGAGGGAGAGCCAAGCAGATCTCTGTGTGTTTGAGTCCACCCTGGTCTGCAGCTTGAGTTCCAGGACAGCCAGGACTTCACAGAGAAAAATACTGAAACAAGGAATAATGGTGGTAGTGGTATTTAAAAAAACAAAACAAGAACAACTTTGGGAGGGATATGTGTATTAGTATTTTGCTTGTATGTGTGTCTGTGCCCTCCGTGTCTGATGCCCTTGGAGGTCAGAAGAGGGTGTTGGATCCCTAGAACTGGAGTTACAGGTGGCTGTGAGCAGCCATCTGGGTGCTAAGAAGTAAACTTGGGTTCTCTGCAAGAGTGAGTACTCTTAACAGCTCCGCTCTCTCCAGCCCATGGACTGTTTGGAAGAGGCATTTAACTAGTAAATAATTAATTGAAGGTTAGAACAAAGAAATTCTGGGATGATTTCCAGGATTCTGACTTGTAAGATGATGAGTTACTAGAATTACTTCTTACTCACAGAATTAAGCACAGGATTTCACAGTTTAAGCTTGAAGTTTGAGATGTGTTGCTAATGTAGCACTGCAGGCCTCTGCTACTGCTACTGAGGATTTCTGGAAAATGAACCCAGTACCTAAATTCTATGGTATGTGATTAAAATGTGCTATTTTGAGAAAAGTCTTATTTCATTGTTCCTTTGAATATAATATTCTGAATATAGTAGATTAAATCTTTTTCTGGCCATAAGAGATAATTAGTTATTGCATTGTGCTATAAAGAGAATTGTTTAAAGAAGTAGGGTTAGCTAGATGTTGACCCCTTGAATTAGGAAGTTGGTATGTGATCAGGAAGTTTTTAAGACTTGAGGCTCCTTTTACCTTTTTTTTTTTTTTTTTTTGGTTTTTCGAGACAGGGTTTCTCTGTGGTTTTGGAGCCTATCCTGGAACTAGCTCTGTAGACCAGGCTGGTCTCGAACTCACAGAGATCTACCTGCCTCTGCCTCCCGAGTGCTGGGATTAAAGGCGTGCACCACCATCGCCCGGCTTCCTTTTACCCTTTTTATGTAACTTAAGGGGAAGAGATTCTGTTGTTAAAACCTCTAGGCATTCTGGTAAGCATCCGCTGACTAATCAGCAGCACAGACATCTCCCTTCTCACCAGGAATTTGTCTTTAAGTTGTGGTATTCTTTGTCTTAGTGCCTTCAGCTGTTTCTGCCGTACTTCAAAATATCTAATATGGCACTCAGATGCATTCAACTCGGGGGAGACTCTAAAGGCACACACACACACACACACACACAGAGAGAGAGAGAGAGAGAGAGAGAGAGAGAGAGAGAGAGAGAGAGAGAGAGAGCGCGCGCGCGCGCGTTAGCTGTCCTTGAACTTGCTTACTAAACAGATCGGCCCACCTCTGCCTCCCCAGTGCTGGGATTAAAGGCGTGCACTATCAAGTCTCTTCAACATTTATAATAAGCTTTTCTTTACTTTGGGATTCTGTTTTCCTTCTGCTTTGTTTGTGTCCTTTCACTCATTCCTGTATAGCTTTTCAAAGCCTTTGGCAGTCTGTGAGTCTTCCCATTTCTTTCTTATCTTGCTATGTAGACTGCAGCACAAGGTCTTATCTTTCAGCTGGATTGTTTCAATAGGTTATTGTTTTAATAGTTTCTGCTTCTTGTACTATATCCTTTCCTCAGCACTGTTGGATTTTTCTGTAGGCATATTCATCATCTCACTGAACATTCAACAATTCTCTTTTGCAGTGCTGGGGATCACACCTTGCACTTGGCTACATTTCTTCTACCCCTACTCTACACACACACACATTAGTACAACACCTACCTGTATTTTTCCCTTCCTTAGTAAAATCTCTGGACGATTATTTCCTTGACTATCAAGTTCCTTTATGGACTTGTTAAAACTTAACCATTTTTTGCAGATTACCTCCCTGCATTCTACTGTATGATAATGTTTGTATATCATATTTTATAAATTAATTTTTATCCTGATTTTATCATCTAATAACTCTTAATATAGTGGTTATGATATAGATTCATTTTTAAAAATATTTATTATGTATACAATATTGTCTGTGTGTATGCCTGCAGGCCAGAAGAGGGCACCAGATCTCATTACAGATGGTTGTGAGCCACCATGTGGTTGCTGGGAATTGAACTCAGGACCTTTGGAAGAGCAGGCAATGCTCCTAACCGCTGAGCCATCTCTCCAGCCTTCAATTTTTTTTTTTAAGTGAAGAAATTGAAGCTCTTAGGAAAGATCTTATTAATGGTTTGATTACTAGTTAGAACAATCAGGAGTGAAAACCAAGTTATTTCTCTTCCTCTGCCATGCTGTATGTGGAATCTGAAAGACCTTAGGACAGTTATTCCCATTCTTTTAGAATACTAGTATTCCTTTTTCACAACTTATTTTGTTATACATCCATGTTGTAGAAGTTGTATATTCTAATTTATATTGATTAGGAAAATGACAACTCCTTCAAGGGCAAGAATTTTTTTAATTATTAAAATTATTTTATTAATCATATTTTTATGGCTTTGAAGCAAGTGCAGTAGATTCAATAATACAGATTGTATACATATAAATTACAGGGTTTTTCAATAACTGAACCGTTTTAGATATCCCATTGTTCTGGGAAAGTGGTAGAAATGTTCCTTTGAATTCAGTTCCCCAATTGATGTGGGATTCCCTCTGTATGCTGTGAATATGTTTTATTGCCATTGATTAATAAAGAAGCTGCTTTCAGCCAATGGCTTAACAGAATATAGCCAGGCTGGAAAAGATATGTAGAGAGAGTAGGCGGAGTCAGAGAGATGCCATGTAGCTGATGCAGGAGACAGACGCTGGACAGAAACTTACCAGTAGGCCACAACCACCTGGTGATACACAGATTAATTGAAATGGGTTAATTTAAGATATAAGAGTTATCCAGGAGTTTGCCTAAGGTAATGGACCAAGCAGTATTTTAATTAATACAGTTTCTGTGTGCTTATTTCGGGTTTGGATGGTCGGGAACAAACAAGCAGTCTCTGCCAACACCCAATTACCAGGCATTTTCAGGAAACAGAAACATTGACAGTTGTTAGATAACAGTTTTTAATCTTCCTGCGGAATAAACAATACTGAATGTGTGACTTCTAAGAAAAATAGAATTTGATGAGTGTCCTGAAGTAGACCAGCATTGTCGTGAAATGACCTCTGTCTCCCTCATCTGTGACATCCAGATCACTGCATGCCTGTGCAGCTTCTGTCTGCTTCCTCTTGTTCCTGATGAGTTTCGCACATTATACGCCATTTACTGTGAAAAATCCACCTGCCTAAATAGTGGTGTTTGGCATGGACATTTGTTTTAAAGCTTAAAAACAAAACCAAAACCAAAAACCAGTCAGTGTTTTTCAGTTACTACAGGAACAGACAAGGCCCCATTCCATCATCATTTCCACTAATGTGCAGTTAATGCCAGTTGTGTAGGCAATGCCTTTCTGTAAACACTGTTTGTCTATGCTGCGTTCCAGGGAGATGGCTGCTCAGTTCAGTCAGTCTGTGCCAACGCTTACCTTTATACTGAGAAAAGAGAATATAGAGACTAGAAAGACAATAGGTTGCCTTTAAAGGGCTTCAATCTGCTCATTAGTTGAATAGGTCGGCATTACTTGTCTGTTAGGACTGAGTATGTAACATGAAATCAGACCTGTTTGGCTTAGATCGCAGTTTCTGTGGGGTGGTGTATACCTGTAACACTAGCACTCAGGAGGTCGAATACTACTTGAGCAAAAGTTCTAGATGAACCTGGGCAACAAAACAATACCATGTACCAAAAAAGCAAAACAAAAAGTTGGGAAGATGGTTTTGTAAGTAGAGTATTGCTCTCCAGCACCAGGGGAAAGCCAGGAGTGGCAGTGCCCACTGTGGTTATAGCACTGGGGAGGCCGAGGCAGGACAGTCCTGTGACTGCTGACCACATAGTTTTGCTGAATCAGGGAGTGCCAAGTTCAGTGAGATACCCTTCTTTTTTTTTTTTTTGGTTTTTTGAGACAGGGTTTCTCTGTGGTTTTGGAGCCTGTCCTGGAACTAGCTCTTGTAGACCAGGCTGGTCTCGAACTCACAGAGGTCCACCTGCCTCTGCCTCTCAAGTGCTGGGATTAAAGGCGTGCGCCACCACCGCCCGGCGAGATACCCTTTCTTAACAGACAGATAAATAAAAGTTGAGAGTGATTGATGAAAACACATGTCTATACATACACATAAAAATATGTATACAAACACAATTTTTTAATTTAGAAAAAGGAAAAAAAATAACAATTTTATGAGAGTAACAAAAAAGCCCTTTTTATGTAGAGTTTACATTCTTTTGCGAAAATAATAAATAAATAAAATAGTGCAGGAGAGGAGTGGGGCAAGGGCATGCTCAGTAGTAGCACTCCAGTTGCCCAAGAAATAAGGCTAACAATTGACATCTGGGTCTCGGGAACCTAAAAAGCATCTTTACAGCAGAGCACACAGTTGATGAAGACAGCTCACCAGACTGGAGAAGATGCTTGTGCAC